TCCCCGGCCGACGGAGGCGGGCCGCGAGAGGGGGGGGCGTGGCCCGGGCGGGTGGAACGTTGGGGCGCCTCGGCTGGCTACTATGTTGCACGTCCCTTCTCGGGCCGCCCGTGAGCGGGCGAGGAGCAACTCTTCTCTGGTCTCGGTGGGGCTGCTGGGGGTCTTTGTCTGGGGTGGGGAGGGTCACCTTGGGTCTGATGGGAGCAGGCAAACTGGGCTTGGCCGCAGGGCCTGCTTCCAGGCGGGGACAGCGGGCATTAAGCCGCCCGCGCTTCCCACGCCTCCCCGCTCCCCACGCACGGCGAGCCCAGTCTGGGCAAAGCCAGAAATGGCATCTGACTGGCACGGCGAGCCAGTCCGGGCGGAACACAGGAACCCACCGGCTCAGCCGGAAGCCTCCCAGAACAGCGGGCGCGATGCGGCTTCAGACCGCTTGCTCGTGACCGCTCAGTGTCCCCGAGTTGCGCTTTAAGACACGTATTGATTAATTTATTCGGGGCAGAGGACCAAAGCAGTTTGCGTTACAGAAAGGTTAAATAGATGAGAAGCCTGAATTAATTCTCTTGGAATCCCAGGGCTCAGACAGGGGCCCTGCCCCAGCTGTAATTGCAGCGGTTGCAGATTGCATCGTGGCCCAGCTCGTGGCTTGTCCTCTGCAGATGCCACGGCGCGAGGATGGCGCTTTCCCTCCTGAACATTTGGCCATGAACGATTCGGCACTGGGAAAACAGAAGAGCCACCCAGTTTGACCAGCATCCTTGCAGAGTTGGTAGGATTTGACCCCTAAGCATAAGGCCAGGGCCCCGGCTTGAGGCTAAGGCCAAGTCGGCCCTGGCCTGGGGCGCCAAAGCTTAGGGGATGCCAACGCTGCCCCTCCTGCTGAATCATTCTAAAAATGCAAATCTTTGCATCACAGGAGGTGGCACCGTGTGGGCAGAGGGGCCATGTGCCCTTGAACTGGCACTGCCTTAGGGTCCCTCTTGGCCCTTCCACAGACAAGCACTCATAGAGCAAAGTTGTGTAGGTTGTGAAATCCAATGCTGGGGAAGGCCACGGGGTGGTGCTCCACGGCCTGCCAACGTCATAACCAACCTTGTGCTCTTGACGTATACCCAACACCTATCGCCTTCATTGAACGCACACCTCCAAGCCCCTCGAAAAGCTTCAAGCTGTGAGGCAGCTGTGGGATGATAAGAAAGTTAGCACTTTGCTGGGCCCCAAAACAGTAATTCTGGGAAAAGCAGCCCCCTCCGATCAGCAAATCTGGAATATGAGCAAGATTTACATTTCATCTTCACCCCAAATGGAACTTAACTACGTTTCTCTCTCTTCCACCTAATACCTTTTTTCCCAGTTTGACAATTCCTGATACTTTTGAGGAAATGGAAGTACAATGGCATATACATGGCAGGGAAAAAGCATTGCATTGGGGGAGTAGAACCCCAGCATTCCAATAATGGGCTATCAACAGAGTTTAGGACGCGTCCCCCCAAGGATCTTCTTGTAGACATTGTAGGGGGAGAGCCCTGTTAGCGTATGATGGCAAAAAATCGGGAGTCTGGCCGTGCCTTTTCAGAGTAACAAATGTTATTAAAAGGTTTATTAAAATTTTATTAAAAGCTGCAGGTCACTTTATCAGATGCATAGAACGGCTAGACTGATCTAGGATTTAAACTGGGACGAGGTGGGGGAAATGGAGAGGAAGGCAGGGTCATTATGCAGATCCCGGTTACATGATCCCCTCCCTCCCCCCCACCCCAATTTAAACCCTCCATCAGTCTATGCCTCCGATGAAGTGAGCTGTTACTTCATGAAAGCGTAGACCTTTCAATTGAAATGCGTTAGTTGGAAAAGGTGCTTCCAAGCTCCTGATTCTCTGTCACCCAAGGAAGGGCCTCTGCCATTTCTCCACAATTTCAGTTTGAAGCGAATTTGCTGACTCTAGCTGGGTGTTTCTTAACCTCAGCCTGGGCTAGGGTTAGGGCGGCTGGTTGGGGAATTCTGGGAGCTGAAGTCCACACATCTTCAAGTCGCTGAGGTTGAGACACATTGAGCTAGCCACAATTCTTCAGCCACAGTGGGCTCCCACAGAAGAATATGCCAGCTGTGCAACTTGTTTTTGGGAGGTGCTGCAGTTGTAACTTTTTTCCTGGAAAATCCAACATGCCAAGCGCGAGAGGTACTTCTTGGTTCCCCAAAATGTTCCCTGTATAGGATACAGATTCCACAACTTCCCTTGGCCAGCTTCAGGGGCTTTGTAATTGTTTTTGCCGACCTATAAATTTTTGAGTAACAACAAAATTATTGTGATTTTTCTTACTAAATTATTCATATATTACAAAGCATGTATGTAACAAGGGCCATGAATCAAAAGGCATATAATGACTATATCTCGATGTCATTTCTTCAAAGAAAAATTCAAATAGATTTATGTATACAAGTTAACTAAGAGACCATGATTTTAATAGTGTTCATAATTCTACCTGCTCCCTCCCCAGCTTCATACATTCTTTAAAGTGCTACACTTTTTAAATGAATTTTAAAATCCAGAGCTTTCCACCACATTTTGCAGCTGAGTCTAATTGGTACTATCACTATCACTGAAATAGCAATTTTGTCATCAGGTAACCCAGAGCTCATAAACTGTGCTTAAAATAATGCAAATATCACTAAGAGCTGAGTGTTTTGTACCTTTGAAATAAAACCACGAAGATGTTGATATCATACACCATTGAATTTTTTATGCATTTGTCTATTACAGATGACAGAAACATACAATTCAAAGGCCATGTGCTCCAATCCCTCAAGAGATACTTAACAGGACTTTGATTGGCGGATGATGGTTTATTCTTTTCATAAACATAGCATAATTATGTTTATATCATAAAATGCTAATGTAAACAAAACAGTGAAATCCAAGTTGCCAATTATGCAGGATGCGTTTCATTTATTACAAACCTTTGTATACCACCCTTTCCCAGGGCTCCAGACAGTTTACAATAAATACCATAATATACAAATGTTCATGCAGGTTATTGATGGTGAGCCTGACTATACTGAATTATCCAGCTTCTTTGTTATTCTTCGTGGAAATGAAACCTTACAGTATTAGGTTTCCCAGTATTTGAAAAGCGCTTTCATCACTCATGAATGACGACGGGTTTTGCTGAGATTTCTTCTCAAGAAACGAAGTACCAAAAATACGATTTCGAAGGGCCTCTCTGAAATCAGGAAAGAAATCACTCGATTTATTTCCTCGCCACTAAGCCTGAAAGGGGCGTGTGGTTCATTTCACTACTCTGTATCTTGGCTTTGTGAGGCTCTCAAGTTTTAAAAGACCCCCAAAAAGAAGCAGGAGGGTTCCCAGGTCGCTGCCGTGCATCAGTCCAAATGGCGGAGCTCCGCACTACTTCGGCCAACGCCAGCGGCTCCCCCAGATGTTGCAGCTCCCCGAATTCTCCCGCAAAGGCTGCGCCGCCTGGCCAGCGCTTGGAGCTGCAGCCCTGCACATCTGGGGGAAAGCTATGCTGGGGAAAGCCGGGGGGTCGCATCCAAGGGCTCATTTGGTGTTTTCTGTATTCCTAACTTAAAATGTACTGGTTGAAGTTTAGTTCTGGAATTAAAAGAAATGCCCAAGGGGGCCCCCCAATCGATCTTTACACAAACATCAATGCTTGAGACTATTACATATTGGCATTTGTAAGTATTAATGCAAGCCTGACATTTCCATTAACACACATACACAAAACATCCAACAAATTTCAGTCTTTCGGATTAGTAAACAATACTCCACGGACGAGGCTTCTGTTAATAATGTTTCTTATTGTTGGAAAATCTCTAGTGGACCAAATTTGTCAAACATACAAAAGGTCTAAAAGTGAAATATAGTAATTAAGACTCTCACTTTATTGATTGGAGAGCTTAAGTAATTTTTCATTACTAACGTAAGATTTAATACATAAAAGTAGTTAAAGATTCTGCCTTGGCACTAGCCATTAGCATGTAATTGAACTAGTAAAAAAGATCAGTTTAACCTATGTTGATTACCACCTTACCTTTGAAAGGCAATTAAGGATCTCAATCATTGCAACAAGATTTGATTGTGTGGCCTTTATTGGACATCGATCTTTTAGCAAAGCGCAGTTACATTTTCCATTAATTTACAGTAGCAGAGTTTAACTTTCATACCTTAGACCATTGACCCAGATAAGATGTCAGGCTAAGTACTCGTTTAGTTTAAGATGCTCCCACCACTCATTACTGTTTAAAAGGGGTACTGAAAAAAGGCAGATACCTATCAACCAGGCTCAGTCGAAGGTTTCAGTTACTAGCACGCGTTTCATCGGACTAAACAACTAAATAGCAGAGTTTAACTTTCATACCTTAGACCATTGACCCAGATAAGATGTCAGGCTAAGTACTCGTTTAGTTTAAGATGCTCCCACCACTCATTACTGTTTAAAAGGGGTACTGAAAAAAGGCAGATACCTATCAACCAGGCTCAGTCGAAGGTTTCAGTTACTAGCACGCGTTTCATCGGACTAAACAACTAAATTCCCCTTTGTTTATAATCTCTCTCTCCCTTGCTTTTTTAAACATTGCCCTTCTACAAAAGGAAAGAGATAATTAAAGCAGAGTAGAAACTTCAAAACACAAAGCAGAGCAACTATTGTGTTTCAAAGGAGAACAGAGCAGATCACATTTCCTGGAAGGTCATGTATTCCAGCCATCTTAAATGCACATCACACATGTGCATTTCAAAGAGGTATCTAAAATACCTGCCAAGGCATTTTACTGCCAGTGACACTGGAGGGCCAGGAAACAAAGGAGGATTTTGAACACCACCAAAATCCAAAAATAATTTGCTACGTATCACGGTGGATTGAAAGCTAAGAGTAAGGACAGTCCCAAGGATGGAGTGGGGATGAGAAGAAAACAACATTATGGGGACATGGAACCAAGAGAGATTGCTGCTGGGACACGTTCATGCCGCGTTTAGGTCACTTGGGTAAAGAACCGTATTTTATACTATATGGGAAAACTCCCTTGTTTTAGATTTCCTCCTCTGCTGCAAGTAACATGCTACGAAGGTCAGACTTGTCCACGTGAAAGCATTACTGCTTCGTATCGGAGATTCAGGCAAAACGGCTGCGTAGAAGACATACACGAATCATTTCAGATGATCGTATTTGACTTCACACACCGTTATCAGCCGTCAAGTGATTTATTTGGCTTAGCATGTTGTAGGAACTCTACCACTGTGGTTTGTAAAACACAGGTTACAGATGTGGGAGAATGCAGCCAGTTTGGGGTTATTAAACAGATCACAGTAAAACAAGGGTAGCTTAGTGTAATACAGTATGGGGACCCCATTTGTTTTCTCATTAGATAAAGAGTTACCCAAACGTTTTTATCACGGGGCCCAAATTTTACACTCACTCCACTTTTATCCTTTACAACAGAAATGCAAGAATAGTGTTTTTAACACAGACTGTGCTTAATTTTTAAAAAGTTTATATAGGGATAAGCCATTTGAATAGAAGCATTGTTCTGGGAGAGAGTAGAAAATTAACGTTTACACATTGTGCTAAGCCTAGATTTCTGAGAAATTCAATTTACCTGAATTAGCACACTTGTTGGTCATCATGCTTGACCACTCCTGCGGGACTACTACCAGTGGTGGCAACTCACACACATCACCGTGACTTAAGTGCAAACAGGGAATCCAGTCTTACACTTCCTGGGAATTGGGAGTCAAGGACACATCAGGCTTCCGATGGTGGCTCCTGTTTCTGGGGCGCAACGAACAAGTCAGAGGAGGAACTTCTAGACTGACAGAGCCCTCCAGCAGGAAGGTGCCAACTCCTGGCCAGGGCTGGAGTCCAAACGAAGCCATGCCTGAAAAAGAACCCCTTGGCTTCTGCTTGAAGGAAAGCTCACTGTCTTCATCACTCGTTTTTTCCTCTTACCGTTTGGAATTGTCCCAGAGATCTAACCGGAATTGGCCTCTCTCTCGCTCGCAACCCTCACTCCATGTCCTTCACGCTGGAACAAGAGAACAGCCCCAGCCCTTCAGGCACTTGAATGCTGCTAGCGTGTCGCCTCTCCCCGATTCGTGCGTCTGCCCAACCCACCAGGCCGGGCAGGAGAGGCTGCTCTGGGCCCCGTCACCTGGTGGGGCCCAGGAGGAGAGCATCTGCCCTTTGGAAGATCGTCCCCCCCGGAGATCAGATTGGTCCCGACCCCACTAGCTTTCTGCAAGGCCTTTGCCACTGGGCTTGGGGACCTGGATGGGTGGCAGAGCTGGTGCAATGGCTGCACTGATGTCTTCTTGTTTTTTTTACCCCAGCTGCTGCCTGGATTTGCGCATTTTTTTTATATTGTTCTGTATTTTTGTATCGTTTTTGTTAGCCACCCAGCGTCTTGCATCTGAGATGGGCAGTCATATAAATTGAAATAATAAAAATAAGTATCTGTTTAGAGTATTTTCTTCACTCAGCAAAACAGTCCCAAGGATGGGTGTTTTCAGGGTACCTACCCAATTAGTTCCCAGTAGAAATCAATCTATTGTATCAGCCATACGTGGGGCGCCTCGTGTCAACTGAACAATGCACCTTCTGTTTCAATACAACAGGTCACACAAACAAGCCCATTATTATATCTGAACTCTGCCCTCAGCCATCTTCCAAGTTCATCCTTCACCATGATCAGCTCCTGAAGCACTGGAGATCCATTGATTTTCATGTGATAAAAGAAAATTCTACGTTTGCTTAATTGTTACACTGTGAGAGCACTGAGCAAGAATCTAGTTGCTATTAATGCTGCAAACGGTGTCGAATTGTACCGAATCAATAGAGTAGTTTGTCAAAGAGATTCTCCAAGGAGAGCTGCCCATCGCTATATAGACAAGGAGTCACGTTACCTCCACTTATCGAAAAACAGGTAAGCAAAGTCAGCAGTCTCCATTATCAGAAATCAAATAAGCTGCAGCGAGCGAATGGGCCACTCCAAGGGAGAGCTGTATTTATAGCGTGGTAATTAAAAAACATTTTATCAGTCTTGTGTTGCGACCAAACCCTTAAAGAAGAATATTGACAAAATCAGGAGCAATGAATGAGCAGTATTTGACTTTAACTTATGTGCTGCACTTATTTAATTTTGCCCATTACTGGGAACATAAGTTCTAGCCAATCTAGCAAAATGCTAATAGTCACTTTTATTATTAATGAAGCTTAATGTAACACACCAGCTACTCCGCTGGGTGAACTATTTATTTAACTTGTATTAGAAATATCCTTTGGTATCAAATATACTGGGGTGTTTCCTTGATTACAGATTTATTTAGAGTTGCAGTTAAACAAAATAAATGTACTACTTGGGTTCTAAATGAAAGCAATTCATAATTCAATTCCGATGTATTTTAAGAAATAGACTTGCACATAATCTCACTGTAGCCTTTTGAAAAATAAATTATATTTTCACAGTCAATGTCTCTGATGAAAATGACTGAACTAATTTAAAACAAACAACTTACTGAAATAACTTACTGAACTTACTGAACTAATTTAAAACAAACCAATTTTATACACGTTCTTAGATCTGAGAGAACGACATGGTTCTGCAACACTTCAGCAGGAACGCTTTAGAAGTTAACAGAGTCCAAAAGCCAACTAGAGAGCTTGAGCTGAGTATATTTTTCTACATTCAGTACATGACAAACTCAAATCATGAGTTAGTTACTTCTCAATCTCATCGAGTCAAATGGTAAAGCACATCCTTAAATCTCTCCCATTGAAAGCAATAGGACTGAAAAGGTACTTAATTTTGGCCAGATCAAAACCACTCAGTTATCTGGCTGCAGGTACCCACAAATTATTTATAGATTAATCATGTCCAGTCTCCACACACAAACCTCTGAAATGAAGGGATTTTTTTTTCAGATCTCTGGATTTTGATAGAAACCACTTTTATTTATCAGAGAGGTCTGAACCATTCTTTTGAATCTCGGTGTTATATATTAAAAACCCATTCATGATGAAGAAAACTATTACTTTTAGATTGTACTGAAGTATTGGATAATTGGGCAAGATTAAGTAAAAGGTCAGTATTTTCAGTTTTGGATGAAAGAAGTTAATTCAAGTAATTTCCCAAAGTTTTGTTTAGTCTGGCATACAGTGAGGGAAAAAATTATTTGATCCCCTACTGATTTTGTACGTTTGCCCACTGACAAAGAAATGATCAGTCTATAATTTATTTTAACAGTGAGAGACAGAACAACAAAAAATCCAGAAAAACGCATTTCCAAAAAGTTATAAATTTAAACACCTCCATGTTTGACGGTGGGGATGGTGCTCTTGGGGTCACAGGCAGCATTCCTCCTCCTCCAAACACGGCGAGTGGAGTTGATGCCAAAGAGCTCGATTTTGGTCTCACCTGACCACAACACTTTCACCCAGTCCTCCTCTGAATCATTCAGATGTTCACTGGCAAACTTCAGACGGGCCTGTACATGTGCTTTCTTGAGCAGGGGGACCTTGTGGGCGCTGCAGGATTTCAGTCCTTCACGGCGCAGTGTGTTACTAATTGTTTTCTTGGTGACTATGGTCCCAGCTGCCTTGAGAACACTGACAAGATCCTCCCCTGTAGTTCTGGGCTGATTCCTCACCATTCTCATGATCACTGAAACTCCATGAGGCGAGATCTTGCATGGAGCCCCAGACCGAGGGAGATTGGCAGTTATTTTGTGTGTCTTCCACTTGTGAATACTCGCGCCAACTGTTGTCACCTTCTCACCAAGCTGCTTGGCGATAGTCTTGTAGCCCATTCCAGCCTTGTGTAGGTCGACAATCTTGT